CTCCTCCTCCAATGGCATTCTTACCACCCAGCCTCCTCCACGTTATCTGGAGGCGCGTGCAGGACGTGACATGGCCCATGAACCCTCTTGACATAGAGTCAGATGAGCATGGCGCTTGCTGCCTTACAGAAGCCGTCCTTTTCTGAGTCATGGGGTATCTCCCACATTCCTCCTTGGGGGTGGCTCCGAATTTCCCGGGGAATCACAGTATCCTCCAAGGGCACACTTACCCAGACAGCTGGAGATGGTGATCTGAACAGGATGGGATCTGCCAGCTCCTGCCAGCGCTGCGGTGGCAGCAAAAGAACAGTCAGAACTAGCTTTCTTCCAATAAGAACTATTTTTAATGGTTTAAAGGTTTAAAAATGAGTCTGTACAAAACCAGCACCACTGTTTGGTGCTTCCAGTCCACGGGGGACCCCAAGGGTCTCTTCCAACACTATCTCTTGGGCCAGTTGTGCCTGAAACCTCTGCAGAAGAGAGCATGAAAACAAAAGTTACTTCTTCCCGTTTGGCTGGTCATTTGCTTTCAGCCCGTGTGATGCAGCCCTGAGGGAGAGTGGTTTGTTCTGGGGGCCTGAAGAGCTGAGAAGGGCAGCAATGCGCCCCCGCCACCCCCACACAGGCGAGTGGGCTGGGGCAGTGCTGACCAAGACATAAGGGCAGGTTCCTTCTTCTTCATGCTACCCCCTAGGAGGAGTCCTCTGACCTCAGGGTCTGCTCTAAGGATTAGGGTTTCATGCTTTGAACTAAAATACTGTATTTCCCCGTGTATAAGACACTCCCATGTATAAGACGCACCTTAATTTTGGGGCCCGAATATTGAAAAAAAAATGTATTACATAAAGCTATTGAACTCAAGTTTTATTCATCAAAAAATTCATACAACTCCTCATCACTGTCAAATGCAAAAAAAATCTACAAACACTGTATAAGACGCACCCAGTTTTTAGACCCCACATTTTTTGAAAAACGGTGAGTCTTATACATGGGGAAATACGGTATTCTCCAAGCGAGACAACCCACATTTGCTTCCTGATTTTTTTCTCCTTCTTCAGAAACAGGCTCATCTAGGAAAACTTAACACCCATTTGCTCTGGTGTGACCTTGGGAAACTGCACTAGTAATAGGTGGAGTGAGCTAAGAAGGACTGGAGTTTGGGTCCTGGGGTGCAGTGACTGTGACTGATATGTGGCATCCTGCAACCCCCATCTCAGTTTGTCCAATGTCGAAGTGGGGGGGCGGGGTTGGTCCTGAGAGGCTCTCTGAGCCTTCCCAGTCCAGACCTCTGAGCAGAAGCTGGGGCCACGCCCTCTCCCACATACCTGTCTGACTTTCCCGTTGGAAAGGACATGCTTTTGTTTCCCATGGACTGTTTCAGTTTTTTGGCTGCAAGGCATTTCTGAAAAGATAAGCAGCACAGAAGGTAAGATGCACAGAAAAACACACCTGAGCTCAGATGGCTCTTCCCAGACTCTAGCACCACAGGTGTGGCTCTGGCTTTTTTGCCACTGAACATTTCGGGGTGTTGTTGAAGGGGAGGCCGTTAGGAGGAGCTACTAAAGGAACTGGGGGGGCTCCACACAGGCCTCGTGCTCCAATGCCAAACTTGCAGCCCTGTTTGGCTCTGACAGGCACCCACACCCACAACTGGGCAAATGCAGGCTTGTGCCGGCACCAAGGGAGAGTTTTTGGCCTGCGGCTATAATTCCCATGGGAGCAAACAGAAAAACAGCCTTCAAAAATCACACGCCAGCTTTTATAGCCTCTTCAAAAAATCGTTTTGATTGCTGGAATAGTTGATGGGCATTGTCTGCACTTGGGAAGAAATGAGGTGAGGGAAAAGACATGCAGAGGGCTCCTGGATGAACCCGTGTTCCCAGCCATGGAAGAGGTAAAAAAAATAAGCCCCATGCACGCACTAGAACTCTCAAGGGCGCTTCTCACCTTGCCAGACAGGGTCTGCTTATTTGGATCAAACTGGGCAGAAGGTTTGGATTTGCTGTTTCCTGAAAGGTAAGAGAGAGATGCCAGCGATCACGTCAATGGGTTCATACCCACGCAGGCTCATTACTGGACTGGGTGCATAGTCTCCAGGAAGCGAGGGCTGTCAGTCTGTTAACCCCGTTATGCTGAGGGGTTTCTGGCTGCTATAAACTCACTTATCATGTTCCCAGTAGTTAAGGGCAGCCTAAGACCAGGCTCATTTCGCACGGATCTATTCTCAGGTCAGGGGCAGGTGCTAAAGCACTAGTCATGTTTACAGCAAGGAAATCCACTCTGGTCGCTGTGTGCTGGGTGCTGCCACTGAGGTGACAATCCTGCAGAAAAGACCGTGTGCACGGCCCTGCCCTATCTTCTTTTCTAAAGAACAAGTGGCAAGGAAGCCGACAGAGTCAGGAATGCCACTTGTAGCCCCTCAAAGTAGATGGACTCTCACTGGCTGAGGAATCATTTTCATCTCATGAGCATCAGGTTTTTTCAATAAACAAGATCTTTAGAGAGAGAGACGGAGGGGAGGGGGAGAGGGAGAAAAGGAGGGAG